TCCCGTGAGGAGCGTTTTGTGCGAATTCACAAATATACTACTACTAGTCGACCTGGGAGGTCATAACCTGGATCCCGACTCCGCTCATTCGTCGAGCCAGTCGTGTTAGTCAACCCCAGAAGCGGGGGAATGCTGGGGAAATGCTAGTTTTGTGGAACGGTCCCGCAGCCATGCCTGAAAGGGAAGGGAGAGTGGCTTTCCCCTGTGTTTCCCCCAAGTTCCACCACATACATGGTCATAGGCACGTTACGGACGATAATATGATCATAAATATTGGTCAGACCTCACAACCACGATCCCCAGATCTAGTGACAGATCAACAGGCTGACTGACTGCCTGCTCGTCCTACCGTTCATCTGTTCCAATCAAATCGCTGTCAATATGGAGCCCAGCCCCGACCTCGCCGCCGAACTGGTCCCCGGGACTGAAATCATGGCTGATTTCTCGGGGATCCATCTGGTCCATGAGCGCTCGTCTCCCCAGTTGGTCGTCCTCATTCCGCAGCCGAGTGACAACCCTCATGACCCTTTGGTATGTCCTCGTCATGTTTGCAGGAGCATTGGTATTGGTCTCTTATATGGTTCATGTCGTCTTCGCTTACACCACGTCTGACTTAGAACTGGACTCGTCTCTGGAAGACATTGGTCCTTCTATCTCAAGGCTCCTTTGTTTTATTCAGCGTCATCACCAATCTTTCCATCGCACCTTTGACGCCAATATACATCGAAGAATGGGGCAAGTCGGCAACCGAAGTGGCTCTTCTGGTAATGAGCCCCTACCCAGTCTGATGGAACTGAACTGACAGCAGTCAAGACGGGATCTACAGTCCTTGCTTTGGGCTATGCCAACTTTATCATCATTCCTTGCAGTGAGATCTTTGGGCGTCGAATCGTTCTTCTCGTCTGCGCTGTAATCACTCTCGGCTCTTGTATTTGGCAGGCCACCGCAACAAGCTACAACTCGTTTCTTGGGGCCCGTATTCTTACTGGTCTCGGTGCCGCGGCAAACGAGAGTATTATGCCTGTCGTTGTTGCTGACATCAAGTTCCTCCACCAGCGCGGGAAATACGTCGGTTTATATTTGTGAGTGAATCAGTTTTCCTCTGCGGCAAACAATCTCATTGATCCAATCTAGCTACTGCTACTTCATGGGCCTCTTCTTGGGCCCTATTATATCAGGGGCTATTGCGGAGCGCACTTCGTGGCGCTGGTTTTTCTGGGCATGCACCATTGCCCAAGCCGTTAACTTCGCATGTCTCGTTTGTCTGTCTCCCGAAACTCGACGGCTTCTGTATGACCCACCCGAATTGTCTCTTGAAAGCACTAGTGCCCAGGTGCAAGAGCAAACATGTAGTGCAGATATCTCCGAGAAGGAGCACCAGGAACGAAGAATTGAGGACAGAGCCAATGGTGATATTGATGAGAACGGGACGAGCTCAAGGCATCTAGATCGAGGAAGACCGAGTATTGGGCAATTCAATGTTTTCCAGGCCGTAGATCGACGTGCACTTCGAACTATCATTCATCACTTCATCACCCCATTGGAGATCTTCTTCTTCCCTATCGTTCTCTGGGCTGCTATGTCAATGGGCGCCGCAGCCAATGCCCTTCTCTGTGTCAACCTCTTACAATCTCAAGCGCTTGCAGCGCCGCCGTACAACTTCACTCCCCAGAATGTGGGTTTTGCAAACTTTGCCCTGGCAGCTGGCGGTGTTTTAGGTCTAGCAGTCGCGGGACCATGGTCTGACTGGGTCGCAATGCGAGCGACGAAGAAGAATAATGGAATTCGAGAGCCGGAGATGCGACTCGCGGCCTTGTTGCCATTCGTCGTAGCCTCAACATTGGGCTTGACGGTATGTCTTCTGCTTGATCCATTTCGCAAACCGCGCTCCAAGCCATCTGACACTGTATCTAGATCATCGGTGTAGTCATACAGCGTAGCTGGCCGTGGGAGGTCATTATTATCGTGGGCTTCAGTCTCACAGGCGTCATCGTCGTCTCTATCCCTACCCTGTGTATCACGGTAAGACAAATAGACATGTATACTACGGCTACAGTCAGGCTTACTAGCTATCAGTATGCGATCGATTGCTATAAGCCTATTGCCGGTCAAATCATGGTAATATCGACAGTTTGCAAGAACACGTTTGGGGTGACTCCTCTCTCACAACGTTTGATTTTCACAATCGAAAACTGACACTGAACAGTTTGGCATGACTTACTATATCAATGAGTGGGCCGCTAAAGACGGGTTTATACCCCCGTTTATGTTGTTAATGGCGATGACTTCTGGATTCACACTTGTGGGTGTGATTTTGTTTATGAAGTGGGGTAAGACGTGTCGTCACTGGACGAGATACTCGAGGCTCCATCAATTTTAATGTCATAAATAATTTGCCAACATATATGGCGAAGGTATTATGTCTTTGTACTCCTCCACCGGGGTGATAAACGTACATGCTTATAGAAAGAAATACTCAATTATGAAGGTCATAATACTTATGAAGCTTTGAAATATTATGCTTATTACTATAGGTTTATTAACTATTTAAAGGCAGTAACCTCTTGTTGAGGAGGTCGTAATGCACTTGCTGAACTGACAGTTATTACCTGAAGGAAGATTATATCAGATTTACAGAAATGCTGGGGCACTCTTGTAAGTGCTAAATATAACATCTAATTTTCTGTCATAAGGAATATCCCGATTTGTGGTGAGGTCGTCTTGATTCCACGCAGATTGCAAAAGACCTAACAGCAACTCAATGTTTTTTGAGTTCATTGTCTTTGATGATTGTTGGATTGTTTGAAGAATTATGATCCGGCGATCATCAGTTCGTGCTTCTAATCCAAGAAGGAACAATAGGAACGGATGTCGGACAGCTCTGGTTTCACTAAGTATTCCAAAAGCCGACTCCGCCCATCCATCAATTTTTGACGAGTGACCAGAGCAACTCTTTGACATGCGTTCGAAGTAAATAAGTGCAGCCTGTGAAAATAGAATTCTGTCTATTTTCGACTCGTGGCCTTTTTGATGACGATGACAAAGTTGCTGTAGCCTAGACTCCAATGACGATAAATACTCTTGATAATCCTCTGTGTGATACCGTGGATCAGATGGAGTAAGGATATTTTCAAATATTTCCGAACCAATATTCAGAAAGGATAATGTATATGGAGAAAGAATTTGCACCTGCACAGGATGAGTGTTTTGAGTCAATGATTGGAATTATAACACTAGTACCTGAGGAGGCATCTTTCTGACTGTGAAGTTCATCGGACCCGACAAAACTTGAGACTTGTCGCGGGCAAATTGCCCTCCTCTCCAATGTCGAAGGGAGAAAACACCCATGAGATCATAGTAGTAGAGCCAATTTGCCATTGCAGAACATTCGCTGGGAAAGGCATCTGACTTAGTGTTAAGGTTACTGAGTAGGCCTTTAGCCCCAGTAAGATACCAAAGCCATTGCGAAGAATTCTTCGAGCTTGCTGAAATCTTTAATGGCTTGGGCGTTAGTAATATCCCACATATAGAGGCTATAGATACGAACTTCCAAGACGCATAACAGCATATTACTTGCGATATGTTGTACGTTCTCCAGATCAGTTATGTCTCGCTTGACAGATGTTTGCAAGGCACGAAGGGCTTTGCCCTGAAACCGCATAGCTTGAGCGTCGAATCCATCCCGGTACACAGATGCAATGGCGAGCATCGAAAGCAGAACTGCCTTTGAGGAGTCTGTTCCATCGGATAATGCCAAGCGGCTCAAGCTTCCAAGGAAATCCCCAGCATCTTCTTCGCATATAGTTATCGTATACGGTAAGATAAATTCAACTGGGAACGGGTGAGTGACATGCCTATTGGTATAAATCTACTTTTCAAGTCTTACAATAACGTAACAAAGTGCACTCTTCACTATTCAGGGGCGAGGGGATCCAAGATATGGTCGGTGACAGAGGAGGATTGGAGAGACACACACCGGTATCTGCTTGCGGTCAGACATCTCCGGTCTCCACTGAGCATAGTTCAGGGAAAGGGTATTGACTAACCTCGAGGATGGAGTAGACTGAAGAGGTGCCGCTGTAGTTCAAAGTCCCGGGACCCTACATTCACCCAGCTGAATGATTCGACTTGTGCAGCTTTGATAACGTGAGGTGTCACTAGCATTGACTTGGTCCTAGAATTTTTCGGCCCTGTCAGACGGAGTCCATACCCCTGACATGCTCGATTCGATTGGGTGCAGTTCTTGCAGGCCGGGATTGTGCGATCGCACCGAATTTTGCGCCCTATGTTCAAACTTAGCGATGCAGCTCAGACTCTACAGGGTCATGTACGTCTAGCTAATCTCATTCCATGCATAACGAACCTTTGCAAGTCCAACACCTAGCTCTTGACATCTCTGCTAAGTCACTGTCACGACTACATCCCGGTTTGGCAAAGGACATAGTGGTATTACGGGGATTCATGGAATTCGATGGGCTGATTAGATAGTTTCGCGGCGATGGTTGAATGGAAGTCAGAACTTGGGGATGGCTAGCTGACAAATTTGTGCATGAGTAGTCCGGTCCCTAATTGCAGCTTTAAAGCACTACTGTTAGTGATTGCCGAATTCGGAAGAACGGCAGCCATTTGCGCAGTCCTATAGGATTGCTGGTATGTACTCCACTTCGGATTCGCACTGAGTTTGCGGCTGCACAAATATACCGCAAATCCGGAGGAGTTCACCCTGGAAAAGCTAACTATCTCGAATTGGAAGAGAGGATTGAATCTGCGCAACGGGATGTTTGGGTTGAGCGCCGGTCTGAACACCATGACTGAGAATCGGAGACATTTTGCCTTCAAGGTTTTCCTTGAGCTTCGACTCCCGGCAAATATATAAACCAGGTGCTTTCTCATAATTTGGCTTTGGGACTTGACCATTGCAATCAACTACTCCAGACTTTCTTCCTATTTTAACACGCAGCCTCTTCAAGATCTAGTCAAGTTGAACTCCACGCCGCACAATGCCTTCCTACGTTGTTACAGGAGCTTCTCGTGGAATAGGAGTACGTGCTCTTGAGACAGTAGATATTGAGGATTAACCACATTATCTAGTTCGAATTCATCCGCCAACTTTCGGAAGACCCGAACGCCACCGTAATTGGTCTTGCTCGTGACAAGGAGTCGACAATGACGAAGATAACACAAGAGATCCGTAAATCAAACATCCATATCATTCAAGCAGACTTGAAAGACCACAACTCATTAAAAGTAAGTAATCCAGTATTGCAAGGGCATTCTCGGTTAGGAGGCAACATGTTCAAATACTTGAGGATCTAGGAAGCTGCGGAGCAAACTGCCCAAATCACTGGAGGTGGCTTGGATTATCTGATCGCCAATGCGGCATACTTCTCCACAAAAGCCGGATTCATCACGGTTTCCGATCTGTAAGACGAAGCTCCAAATTCACCTAGACAGCGATAAAAGAAATTATTGACTCACAAAATGAGCAATACAGCATTGAAATGCCAGATCAGTATCTAAGTGATCTGAACGAAAGCTTTGAGGTCAATGTCATTGGCAACATTCAGCTTTTCAACGCTTTCTTGCCCTCTATCCTGAAAGGTCAAGTGAAAAAGGTCATAACGATTGGCTCACTAAATGCAGATACAGAGATAACTGCCAAATATGATCTGGCGACATGCGTGCCCTACTCGATCAGCAAAGCTGCGCTAAATATGGCGGTTGCAAAGTACAGTGCCGAATACCGCGAGAAAGGTGTCCTTTTTATGAGTGTTGCACCTGGGTCCACAGAGACGTTCACCTCTGCCAACAGTGAGTTTGCAGAACTTTAACGATTTCAGCCTTCAATGTTGACAATTCGCCAGTGTCTGAGAAAGAACAAGCGAAATTGATGATCGACATGCAGCGCTTGATGGCTCATGCACCACATTTCACTGGCCTAGCAAAGCCTGCCAAGTCGGTGGCCCTTGTCAGAAAGGTCATTGAGAATTCCAGCATCGAAAAAGGCGATGGTGGCTCCTGGGTTTCTCAGTTTGGAAATAAACAGTGGCAATAGAGAAACAAAGCTTTGCTTGATGTTACAGCCTTGGAATATTCACATACAAATTGTCATGTATGAAATATTGATTTCTGCCTTTCTTTTATACCGTTGCTGTGAATGCAGCTCTTAGGCATGTCCTTGCACATTGCCGAATAGCTGCAAGCCTGCAAGATGCTGCGTATACGTTGCGCACCTCAAAGCTAGGTAGAGATGAAATAGCCATGTAGGAATCCTTCAGCGCAAAAACGTAACCTATTTAAGCATTCCTTAGTTCCATTTGTTGGGTTGTACTGCAAGGCTCGAGGGTTGTGACCGCTTCGGATCCATACCGATATTAAAGCCAAGGCCCTAGCGATGCAGTGGCACCTCGGTCCCAAAATGGTTGGTGGTCGTTGGCGGGCTGCAGTAGTTGCTGACTACACAAATCTGAGTGGCTTGGTTTAAGGTTGTGAGACAACATCCCCCGTCCGGCAGTGGCACCGACATGAGTAATCGGCTGCTCATTTATGCAAGCCACAGCATGTATCGCTATCACAGATATAAGACATGGCAGACCAACTCATCAGACAGAAAGCTCGAGCTCGCCTCAAGTATCGCTGTCGCGAGTGCTAGAATCAGTACCATCACTAAAAATTCTAACCAAGCATGACGGATTTGATCCGAGATGCCCCCATCGGGCAATTGATCAGACTGCTCACACGTAACAAGTTCTTAAAGTACCCCGAAGAAGATAGCGCATTTCATTGTCCCGGCTGTTATAAAGAGCCTGAAGCAGAATCAGTGGTATCTAAGCCCGAGTTAGTCCCTGAAAAGAGTGCGAACACAAACACCGAGACTCAAGTTAGCGAACACTCAGACAATAATGCCACATTGGACGACGAGGTGCCGGATCGAGACGTCTATTCGCCGGATATTGAAGCATTTGAGCCAATCAGACCTGGTTCTGCTGGAACCGTATCGACTGAAGCGACTCATCCTCCCACCCGAAGACAAAGTCTAGCCCGAGTCGACACAAAGCTAGCTCTCAAGAAGTCAGTCACGCGAGCAGATCTCGAGGAGCAGTTTGCAGAAGCAGTCAGAGCCGAGACACTGTCTCCCGAGACAATAGAGCCAGAGAAGCTCGAAAGCGGCACGGTGCTCGTAGACTGGTATACTACTGACGACCCAAGCAACCCGCAAAATTGGACTCTCAGAAAAAAGATCTTTGTGTCATCAATCATCTAGTTCGTGATTAGCTCCCTCAAAATGAACTTCATTACTAAATTACTGTTAGTATTTACACATTTACCTTCTACCTTGGATCTGCGATATATACACCGAGTGCACCGGAAATAATGCAGCGATTCCATGTTTCAGCACAGGTCGCATCCCTAGGTCTATCAATGTACGTGCTTGGATACGGAATCGGGCCATTGCTCTTTTCGCCGTTGAGCGAAATTCCCGCTGTCGGTCGAAATCCCCCGTACATCTATACATTTGGTCTATTCGTAATACTCTTAGTACCAGCAGCACTTGCCAAGAATGTCGCGTCTTTCATGGTTCTCAGATTTCTTACTGGCTTTTTCGGTAGTCCTTGCCTTGCAACTGGCGGGGGCAGCCTCGCTGATATGTTTTCTTTGCTTAAACTTCCATATGTGTTAAGTGCCTGGGCTTTCTCAGCAACAGCGGGACCTGCACTAGGTCCTTTGCTATCAGGTTTCAGTGTCGTTGTGAAGGGATGGAGATGGTCAATGTGGGAACTTCTTTGGCTTGCTGGTCCAGTGTGGATTGTCATGTTTTTGTTTCTCCCGGAGACCTCTGCCGACAATATTCTCCTTCGACGGGCACGGAGACTCCGCAAACTTACTGGCAATCCAATGCTGAAATCACAGGGTGAAATCAACCAAGCTAAACTCACGTTCCGCGACATACTTATTGACGCCTTGTGGCGACCTATCCAAACAGTTATGTTAGATCCTGCGATCGCTTTTACTGCCATCTACACGGCACTGATCTACGGAATTTACTACTCGTTTTTTGAGGCCTTCCCCATAGTGTACCTCGAATACTTCGGCTTCAACCTCGGGGAGATGGGATTGGCGTTCTTGTCAATCATAGTGGGAGCCATAATCGGAGTTTCTCTGTACTTGGCATATTGCTATTGGGTTGTCGAACCAAGTATCCGGGCCCGAGGTCTAGGTGCCCCAGAGAGACGCCTTATACCTGCTTTGGGCGCTGCATTCCTCTTACCTGTCGGACTCTTCATATTTGGTAAGACGCAAATCTCCAAGAATACAACCTTGTCTCCTCTGTTGAATCGAGTCGCTAATGCTCTCTTCACAGCTTGGACTGCTAAGCCCGAGCTGCACTGGATCGGGCCTACCATTGGCGTTATGATCTTCACACTCGGGATTTTCGTTGTGATCCAGTGCATTTTCTTATATCTGCCGCTCACCTACCCACAATATGCGGCGTCGCTCTTTGCTGGTAATGACTTTCTTCGATCAACACTAGCAGCCGGCACCATTCATTTCTCAAGTCCACTGTATATCAACCTCGGGATCGGCCCGGGCGTGAGTCTATTGGCAGGCTTGACATGCGGTTGTATCCTTGGTGTTTTCGCACTTTGGTACTTTGGAGCGTGGCTCAGAGCTAAGAGCAGATTTGCTGCGCAGTGATCGCGCGACGTCATGAGTCAGTCACTTCGGTGCGGCCCATCCCGCACCGAGATCACTAATGGTATGTTGTGCCTATCATGAAGATGATATGTTTCTATCTATCGCGGAAGGCTGATGCAAAGCTGCTGGGAAGTATGAAGAGTGATGGCCGACGGCACCATAGTCAAACGCCGGCGGCGACGGCCGCTAAACCATCACCAAGAGTTGAGGCGATAACAAAAGGTGGAGAAGATGGGGTCGCGCTTGAGGTGACCAATTGTATGGCGGGAAAAGGTAAAATAGGCAACTTGTTTGGAATAATGAATTAAGAAAAGATAGTAATGAAGTCAATTACTATTAGACATGACATGCTAGTCTAATGCGCAACAAGTGGACGCTTGAAATTAGCCTTAGGCGCACATGCAGGAACCTGCCGCCGGGGCCGTCCGCCTAACATATACCTTGATGAACACGAACAGTGCCCACATTATTGCTGGAATAGGGTGCAAACAGAGTCTTGCTAAGTGTTCAGTTATCAGTCATACTAGACACATCACTTCAAGGCCGCAAGGTGGATGGGTACGGGGTATCTAAGCCCCTGAACCCCTGAATAAGAGGGCCAATCACGTGAGCGGCCGTCGGCCAGGTGCCCTCCACTTGAAGCGCTGTCCGGCGGCAACTCGCACAGAAAACCGAGACATCTAGATTAGGCTCTCGGCACAACTCAACGATTAGAAAAATGAGTTGCAGCGAGTAGCAACACTTCAACGTGCAGGACGTCGTACTCTATACTGGCTCTCATGTAGTGGTGTGCTGGAATCCGCTGTGAGGCGAGTTTCTAGACGATCATCAGGGCCGCCGGCGAAGGTCAGCGACGGCTGTCCTTCTCCAGCTGGCGCCACGAAAAGCGTGTCAATCTACCCCACGACCAAAGTCGGGTTGTGCTCATAAAGCAATCAATGAACGGTCTCATTTGCTTGCCGTCTATATGATGCGTCTGTTGTCTCATTTGGGGTCGTCCATACCATAGCCTGCGCAGCTCGTCACAAACATTTAGGATGACAGGCACATCCTCCAACTTAGCGGATGTCGTCTCCGGGCCCGTACCTTACTCCGGCCCTTTTCCACTCCTCATTTCGGAGTGGAGAGCCCGTCAAGCATCGGCGGCCCCGGACTCCGGACTTGCATGTTTGCTTGCGCTGCTCAACGCGGAGACGAAAGCGGCATCAAATGCGTGGATTGCGCTTGCGACGCCAAACCAAATTCGCTCACAATGGGCGAAGCTGACACAGCTCCGGGATGAAGGGGCTAACCTCCCTCTTTTTGGCGTACCTTTCGCAGCTAAAGATAACATGGATGCACTGGAGTTTTCCACAACTGCTGCTTGTCCGGCCTTTGCTGGTCCGCCAGCCACTGCCGATGCCCCGGTAATTGCACGCTTAAAGGCTGCAGGAGCCGTGCTGTTGGGGAAGACCAATCTTGATCAATTCGCAACGGGGCTTGTTGGTACTCGATCACCCTACGGAGCTGTTGCTAATACGTTTGATTCTACTCGAGTGAGTGGCGGCTCAAGCTCTGGTAGCGCTGTAGTAGTGGCACGAGGCGTCGTACCGTTTGCATTAGGGACAGATACTGCTGGCAGTGGTCGTGTCCCGGCCGGCCTTAACAACATCGTAGGACTAAAACCCACCCGTGGTGCTTTGAGTACCAAAGGAGTGCTACCCGCTTGTCGAACTCTAGATTGCGTCTCAATATTCGCTTTAACTGTCGACGACGCGGAGACTGTCTTGAACATAACCGAGGGCTATGATGAGCAGGACTCTTATTCAAGAAGACGGCCATCGACAATAGGGGCAACGCCTCTACAACTCACCTCACTCACGCCGAAGCTCGCCATATGCGCCAATCCGAACTGGCATGGTAATGTCCAGGGGGCTGCAGCGTACAGCACTGCCTTAGAGAAGGCTCGAGCAATTGGCTGGCAGCTGAAACCAGTCGACTTCAGTCCTCTTTTCAAACTCTCTGGCTTGCTTTACGACGGACCATGGGTATGTGAGAGATACGCAGCCATTCGGGCCTTCTTTGAATCCGACGCGGCAGCTGCTCCGGGTGGCATGGACCCCGTCGTTCGTGATATCATCCTAAAGGCTAAGGAGTACTCCGCCGCTGATGCTTTTGATGGCGAATATCTTCGACAAGATCTGAAGAGGCAGATTGAAATCATATTTCAAGACTTTGGTGGCCTCTTAGTGCCTAGCGCTCCCACGTTCCCAACGCTGAAAGAAGTGGCGCAAGAACCGGTCCGAGAGAACGCGATCCTAGGGACTTACACGAATTTTGTCAACTTTATGGACTGGTCAGCCGTGGCAGTTCCAGCAGGATTTCGCGATGACGGTCTTCCTTTCGGGTTAACTCTTATTTCCTCTGCCTGGGAGGAATCTAAATTGCTCCAGCTTTGTAAAGATTGGTTGGCTGGATCAACCAGGAGACTCGGGGCAACAGAGCGACTTCACGCAGAGCCATCAACTCATGATCTATCGCCAGCGTATACCGATGCCGCCACAGTTTCAATCGTTGTCGTTGGCGCTCACCTTACCGGGTTTCCTCTCAACAAGGATCTTACATCTCGAGGTGCAATGCTAGCGTCAAAGACCACAACTGCGCCGCAATACCTGTTCTATGCGTTGAAACCGGTAAATGGAATCAGCAAGCCGGGCCTAAAGAGGATTGCGAACGGCGGCCACGCGATAGAAGTTGAGGTTTGGGAAATGCCTCAACCTGCCGTCGCAAGCTTTTTGAAAACCATTCCGTCACCGCTGGGGATCGGCTCCGTGGAGCTCGTAGATGGTACCTGGAAATTGGGCTTCATATGTGAGCCGTACGGGCTTCAGGATGCCCTCGACATCAGCTCTTTCGGCGGCTGGCGCGCCTACATGGCCACAAAGCAGAAGTCACCAAAGCCAATCATCAATGGCTCATCACCACGGTCCATCAAGTCTGTGCTCATTGCAAATCGGGGTGAAATTGCTGTTCGCATAGCTCGCACATTACGCGATATGAATATTCGCTCACTTGCAATTTACTCTAGCGTCGACTCAGACTCAGACCATGTCAAATCTGCTAACGAAGCTTTTCTTCTGACCGGCTCAACGGTCAGTCAGACTTATCTCGATGGTACACAAATCCTCAAGCTTGCAACTGCGGCAGGTGCAGATGCCATCATTCCCGGCTATGGATTTCTCGCCGAGAATGCCGACTTTGCAGGAAAAGTTGAAGAAGCGGGCCTCATCTGGATTGGGCCGACCCCAGAACAGATGCGTGAGTTGGGTCTCAAGCACCGCGCTAGAGACATCGCAGTCGCGGCGGGAGTACCTGTGGTTCCTGGCAGTGGACGCCTACTAAGCGCTGCCAGCGAAGCAGTGTCCGAGGCTAAGAAGATCGGTTATCCTGTCATGCTCAAAAGCACAGCGGGAGGTGGCGGTATTGGGCTCCGTGTGTGCACTAATGCACAGGCTGTGTCGGAGGCTTTCGAGGCTGTGATCAGACTTGCAGAGGCGAATTTCGGAGACGGGCGAGTCTTCCTGGAGCGATATATCCCACGAGCCCGACATATTGAAGTACAGATTCTCGGCGACGGGGCAGGAAGCATCATAAGTGCTGGCGATCGAGACTGCTCTCTCCAAAGGAGAAACCAAAAGGTCATAGAGGAGGCGCCAGCCTTGTTTGTCCCTGAGGTGGTCCGTACACGTATGTCCAAAGCTGCTATTGACCTTGCCGCATCAGTGAAATACCGCAATGTTGGTACAGTGGAATTCATTTACGATGTCGACAAACAAGAGTTCTACTTCCTGGAGGTGAACACCCGTCTCCAAGTGGAGCACCCAGTGACCGAGTCTATTACAGGACTTGATCTTGTTAAATGCATGATGAACATAGCCAGCAATGACTGCGAGACTCTTTTCTCCGAGGGGCCGAGGCAGGTAGCTTCCAAGTCCGCAATTGAAGTCAGAGTCTACGCAGAAAGTCCTCTGCAGGATTTTCTACCTTCAACGGGGCGGCTATTTGACGTGTCATTTCCAGAAAACGTCCGAGTTGACACCTGGGTACACACTGGCACAGAAATGTCACCCTTTTACGACCCACTCATTGCTAAGATTATAGCCACCGGACACGACAGACAATCGGCTCTCAATACACTATCTACAGCACTGCAGCAAACACGTATTACTGGCGTGGAGACTAATCTCGATTACCTACACAAGCTTGTTAGCATGGAAGAGTTTCATTCCGGCAAATTTACCACTTCAACCTTGAACGGCTTCAAATATCAGGCGCAAGTTATAGAAGTCGTTGAACCCGGTACGCAGACCGCCATCCAAGACTTTCCTGGACGGACAGGTCTGTGGCATATCGGAATACCGCGATCTGGTCCTATGGATGATTTCTCATTTCGGGTAGCCAACCGTCTCGTCGGTAATAAACAAGCTGCTGCTGGCCTCGAATGTACTGTTGAGGGACCTACTCTCCGCTTCCATTGTGACGCGATCATTGCTGTTGCTGGAGCTGTTGCAGATGTCGCCATTGATGGCCGGTCAATCCCAATGCATCAATCAATTACTGTTCTATCTGGTCAATGCCTCTCTGTCGGGATTGCAAAGAATGGATACCGCACTTGCGTTGCTATTCGTGGGGGCATAGACGTCCCCAAAGTTTTTGAGAGCCGTTCAACATTTACTCTTGGTAATTTGGGTGGACATAATGGCCGTAGCTTACGATCTGGTGATCTACTGCATGTGGCTTCGGATATTGACGGTGAACCAGCCACCGCACATGATCTTGAACCAATTTTAAGTCTCATACCCCCACAACCGAATGCCGTTTGGAGTATCAGGGTTGTGCCTGGTCCACAAGCCGCCCCTGACTTTTTTACACCCGAAGGATACGCTACTCTATTCAGCAGCGAGTGGAAAGTGCATTATAATAGCAACAGATTTGGCATTCGATTAAGTGGACCAAAGCCTGAATGGGCAAGGAAGACCGGTGGCGAAGCTGGGCTCCATCCATCAAATATACACGACACATCCTACTCAATTGGCGGCGTCAGTTTCACTGGAGATGAGGCTGTCATTCTAGCTTGTGACGGGCCAAGTCTGGGCGGCTTCGTCACTTTCTGTACTGTTGCGACCGCTGAAATGTGGAAGCTGGGGCAGCTCCGTCCAGGGGATCGATTACAATTTTCTCCGATTACGACAACTAAAGCTTTGGCCCTGAACGGTGACTTGAAGTCTGCCATCTCGGACTTATCATCTTTAAAATTCAGCGATGGTGAGATCTTTCACCGTGAAGAAACTGTACATGCATCAGGAGACGGTGTCTTCGGCGAAGTTCTTACTTCAAATGGCACAGTCAAGTGCCGCGTTGCCGGCGATCGCGCAATGCTGCTCGAGTTCGGTAACAAGGATGGATTTGATATGCGGCAGAGTTTTCATATCTTTGCTTGTATTGAAGAACATAAGATACACCCGCTGCCAGATGTGGAGGAGCTTTCTCCGGGAGTGCGTACGCTTCTAGTCCAGTTCACACAGCCAGCTCCATCTTCGGAAATGTTCAAAGTCATTTCGACGCACGTGGAGCGTGTCAGTCGCAATATTCCTTCGAGCGTTCAGTCCCGCACAATTAGTCTCCCTCTGGCCTTCGACGACAGTGTGAGCCAAGCCGCTGTTACGCGATATGCCGCCACCATTCGCCATGAAGCACCGTGGCTTCCTAGCAATGTTGACTTCCTAGCCGAACTCAATGATCTAAATGGCCGATCGGGTGTGTCAGATATCCTACACAGTGCGACGTTCCTTGTGCTTGGGCTGGGCGACGTGTTCCTCGGCTCACCATGTGCCGTGCCTCTCGATCCCCGCCACCGACTGTTCGGGACGAAGTACAATCCTTCAAGATCATTCACACCACGTGGCTCAGTCGGTATTGGTGGACAATACATGTGCATCTATGCCATGGAGTCTCCAGGCGGATACCAACTTGTTGGTCGAACACTGCCAATTTGGAATGAGAAAGGCTCAGGAGGTAGGCCCTGGCTCTTCAAGCTCTTCGATCAAATAACCTTCTATCCAATGGCAGAGAGCCATCTGGATAGTGCTATTAGGGAAGGCCGCCAAGAGAACTTGATCAAAGTCACGGAAGGCTGCCTTAATCTAGAGTCATATGAAAGTTGGTTGGAAAAGCATCAAGACGATATCGACGATAAATCGAACATCCGGGCTGCAGCTATTCCCAAGGTACCTTTCTATAAACAGCTTTTGTTACCCTATGATCGCAGCCAAAACACGTCCACCGCGAACAAGTCCAAGTCAGACTCCTTGAGAAACACCACAGACATCAAAGGGGAACGAATTAAAGCCCCAATGCCAGGACGATGCTGGAAACTAGATGTACAGGAGGGTGATGATGTCGTGATTGGAGACATATTGGTTCGTGTACACTTTGCACTCTAAGGAGTACCAACTGACACTCGAGTAGATCTGGATCGAGTCCAATAAGATGGAACTGAAAATCCCAAGTCCAGTGAGTGGGAAATGTGTAAGACTCCTTGTCAGTGAAGGGGATCTAGTTGGCCCAGAAGACGATATTGCATTGATCGCTGTTGATCAAGTATAAAAAGATATCAATTGATACCCAGAGAAGCGATGACTGGAGATAATCTTGATCTTGTGGTAAATTCCTATATTCTACGAGATATAGATAGCAGATTACGGCTGGTACAGACCCAAATATCACACTGTCCAAGACTGTTATGCTGGTGATTGCCTTTTTGGCATCGGAATAGTGCCATTCATCCCGCATCCAGCGTTCACGCAAGAAGAGACAGTATGAATGTAACGAATCTTCCCGTTCTCAACCCTGAACATATGACTATCAGGCATCGGTTCTTGACCTCGTGTTCGGTCAAGTCCAGGAAACCCCAGAAATATGTCCACTACCCCCATTGTTTCATCGACCACATAGCGTCGATTAGTAACAACAATCGTGGATGGTAGTCCGCCAATATCGCAGGTATTAGCACTGAGGTTCCCTCGCCCTGTGTACGCACCTCCCTCGAGCCTGGCGCAGTGTGTGCCAAAAGGCACCACAAAGCTCACATTGTTGAAGCGATTGAAGTATGCGTCACCAGCTGCCTTGATTACCTCGCGACTATCGCGTTTGTCTTCAGGGATCGGCTCCCAGCTTTCAAGTGAGTTCCAATAGAGATAGCCGGTGGCATTGAAGGCCCAGTCTCCTTTATCTGTGACAATAGACTCGATAGTAGTGATTTGATCATTAGCGAGGAGCATCCGAGTGCCAATAACGTATGGATGATCCGAGTTGGCGACGATGAGTTCAGTGAAGGTTGCGCACTTCGCTGTGTCGTGTATGCTGCGCTTATGGTCAATTTTCATGGCCTGGGACAAGACACCAGCAGTTATATTGATCGCCTGCTCATTCTCTGTATAGTTGACAGAGTTAGCAAGGTATTTGAGACTGCTGACTGAGCCGCTCCTTTGTGCCAATGTGTATTGGTCAGTAGCGTTTTGAAGCATATCTCGGCTGCATTCTGCTGATACAGGCGCTAATAACGCCGAAAACACGAGAGAAATTAATAGAATCATTGTATTCAGCCACTTAACATTTAGTATGGTTGGTATTTATCATCGATATGGTCGGCCCAAGCATTTCATGTGTAGCTCTCTTCCTTTTATATGCTCGTTTAGGTTGTGTTGGAAAGTGCCGACGCAATGCAAAATTGTCACAGATGCTGGCCAACTTAATCTTCTTCGAACATCACATTGTAAATTAATTCACAAAGCCAATCCCAAAGTCAATATAACTGATAGACGATTGTGTATCGGAGACCCTGACATCATCTATTAAAGGTTCGGGAAATATCCGAGCAGCCTGCGGGGTGTATGCAAAACCCGGCAATTCAGTAGAACAACCACATTCATTCCATTGCCAACATACTGTCTACATATTAACCGGTTCTCAGCCTCGAAAGCTCGGTTATCAGCTGACTTGGCCGGAACTAGATCTCCATGTTTGGTTTATGTTCATGGCACGAAGTATCAGGAATGACCGCGACCGTACGATCACCCTACCTTTTTTCAATTACTCATTTTGGAGGCTACAACAGAATGACCGCCACTCCGGCCGTTTTCTAGTTGTGATTGCAGTTGATGGATTTGAGATCATGAACCCTTCGGTCAAGGAAGACTGAGCGTGTAGTTCCAATCATTTCACTCAATATTTTTTAGTTAAGGCCCTAAGCAATAAATCCTGCTCGTCCGGAAGAGCATTTGTAGCAATTGCCTTTGAAGACAAGACAAATCCATAAAGGTTTTCAATAGCTCATGCTCCAGAGCCTTCTCCTTAAAAATAACCAAGTAACCTATAGCGTAAGTCCCGCGGTGATTCCGATGCAGGTTGTCATACTATTTGTCTTAGCACAGGTAACTAGTGAAATGCGCCTGCACTATCTTTTAAGAACGCTTTCAGCACGTCAACGCACCTGTGGCGGCCGCTTACTAGATCTTGTAAGCCAGTGGCTCCGATTGGATCTAGGCCACAGGGCTCGATCTAAACCCTAACTACCATCACCGCTCAAAGACTTGGTGCGTGCCCTCTGCATGGTCAACGCCTCGCTTGCAGCCCTGGTGCTTGCTCGTTGAAGGTCCACTGGCATTCCTACTTGGACAACCAACGCTCTTAACATCGGCTATTATACATACAGTATCACAGTAGTGTACCACGATGCTACGCCTCATCCGCAAGTGGCACGGGAGCATTCCCGCTAGATGTCACAGTGACAGCGGCGCACCGTGCACTGCAAAACGGTTTCAGCACCTAGTCGACACCCCCGGAGTATTTGCCAGCAGTACAGGACGAAATACACGCAGCCTCCGGCAAATGGCTATCAATGGGGCCTCCTCGGCAGATTCCCCTATTGCGTGACGTCGGCGACAATGCTTTTTTCGGCCTGGAGAGGAGCTTCCTGGACAAGATCTTCACCGCGAGCTCTATTTACGGTGCTCATGACGGCAATGCCGGGGCGGACAGTGGGGATGGTGAGGAGCGTGATGGATATGCTTGGTGACAGCTCCGTCAAAAGCCTGGGCTCCGGGCCTCGGACCACCCAAACGAAACATGTCCTGCGGGGGAAGGTGACAGTCCAGTGCTGTCGAAACGTGAAATTTGCATATGATTATGAAGGCCAGACGCAGAAATCCTCGGTTGCCCCTCCTTTCACACGCCACTACCTGGCAGCTCGCGAGACACTATAGGCTTACTATAGGATGGGGATGGGTGTACTAGCAAGGGGTGTTCCCCGAAAAGGATGCAAATCCTACCCTAAGAGCCAATGAGCATCGTGAAAACCTGGCTCAGTGCAACTCAGTTGTACAGTCGATCAGCCGCTTTGATAACGGGATCGCTGCATATCTCTACACTAGGGACCCTTGGGGTATACACTGGCGCAAACGAGAAAAGTCGTCCTGGGGGGTAAGCTCACCTTTTTAAGCAAGCTGAGTCCCGCAATTCAGCTCTTTCCACCGCTTTTGGACTCTTGAACGGCGCTGGGCGCTTTGCTTTCAATAACGTGCTCTGCTGTAGGCTCTTCAACCCGCTGGCACAATGGATTACATGTAAGTCATGGTTTTTGGGTGCAGCGTTCTTTGTAGGAGCTATAACTGACTCTGGCACGTTCTGACAGGGCCATTACTACGGGATGCATTGCCCTGAGCAATGCCATTTCGAAGACATCCGGCGCTATTCGAGCATTCATCCGAGAGGTACGCGAGTCTCGCTCTGAGCTGGACGTCATATCGGGCGAATTGCATTCCCTTGACGGTGTGCTTGACCTGCTCAGAGACGATGCTGCTTCATTTCCACCAACACTGGCGCACCGCACACCAGTCCTGCTGGACCGTTGTGTTGCTATTGTGAACGAACTGGGAGGTTACATTTCGACGATCAATGCTGGAGGGCTTTCGAGACATGACAAGAAATTCCGCTGGATAGCGACCCGGAAACACATGGCCAAACTTCAAGAGACGTTAGAAGTGCACAAATCGTCCTTGGGTCTTGCCTTGGATGTGGTTGGACTGTAGGTTGACGGTAGCCCCTTAATGCGCATGTCCTAACAATATTGTAGTAGAACCACGCCTCGCAATGGCAAGGGAGCTGTTTCTGGAAAGAAAGAAGCTCCCGAGAGTCTAGCTGATGACCCAGACTTGAAGAGCGACGTTCTGAGGATCATTGGTGAGATGAACCGATTAACAGCAAATATTGCGCGAGATTCACAAGCGAATGGCGCTACGTTCAGTCTACACAACTACTTAGATGCCGTGCAGGCCTACAGCGTTTCCCTGGGTGTCAAGTTCGAAGCTGATGATGGCGATGGGAACGCTTCCTCAGTTGGAGATGGACCAGACAGTGCAATCGAAATGAATGAAGAGGTGATGTTTCCAGTTCTACCTGACACCCTACCGCGCGACGTCACCCTTTCCGTGGAGGAAATCGATGAGCTTTTGGACGAGCTCAAAGACACAATGCCGAGTCGACCTCCAACACCCCCACCGAAAGCCCGAGCGCGAGCGAACTCGACTCGCAGCTCTGTTGTCTCGCCGATTGATTACCGCCTCAATACCCCGGAGAGCGAAGGTAGTCCGAGTAGCAGGACTGGGTACATGGACGTTCAGCCCAAAGTTCCTGGAAGATCGAGCTCCTTGCGCGATGCTTCTGTCTGTCCGTCCGAGTCCGATCGTCAAACAGCTGAAAGCCTCTATACCGTGGTGACCAGAATCAGTTCTGACAATCAATCTATTGCACCAGTCAGAGACACTCGCGCAGGACGACTGTTTGGACATGTGCGCAATGCGCTGTCTAGTGCGTCAGAGAGGACAGCAGCAGAGCCACCACCGCCGATTGCGCGCCACCCTCCGGGCCTGGTACGACGAGGCAGCCGTCGTCTGTCGTTCACACTGAAAAGCTTGCCCCAATGGAAGTCAAATGGCCCAGCTGAGGAAGAGAATCCGGAACCAGATACGGTGTTTGGAGTCTCACTAAAGAAGAGCATGCAGATTGCGAAGGGGACAGTTAAGACCCGCCATACTGGGAGCGGCTCGTCTGCGAGAGATTTCCCTTTATGCGTCTACAAATGTTATTCCTTCATCAAGGATGAGGGAGTTGATGCTCAAGACATCTTCGGCGAAGGCGGAGATCCAGAAGCATTGCAGAAGTTGAAGGAGATGTTTAGCACTGGTCCTAAATATGGTGAGGATATGGACTGGAGCGAGTTTGGTGTCTACGAAGCCGCCGATCTTATCCTATTATATCTTGCACAGCTCCCGAAACCAATCATTTCCGAGTCCGTGGCCAAGCGCTGGATCTCGCTCTCTAAGCAAGCAACAATGCCGGGTTCCCACGCCATTCGCTTAGAACAGTGCATCGACTTCTGGGAGGAAGCGCTTGGCGGAGTTCGCGGACCCGCTCGCAGCTTGTTCAAGCTGCTGCTCAACCTCTGGGGAGATATCGCCGACGCAGCCGATAGAAATGATATGACAGCAGAACGGTTGGCTGCCCGAGTTCTCAACCCCCTCATGCATCTGCCGGTTGGCAAATACGGTACTGACTACATGCTTGGTCTTGCTTTCCTAATTCGAAAACGTTCCGAATACTCAATGCTGCTGCAAGGCGACACAAGGAAGAGTAATGCTGCGTTCTAAAACTCGCTGAGTTTAGATACACTTGATATTCTATTTATCTTCTACAAATGTCTGTACGGTTCTTACACATGCAGTTATGCTCGATCGAACGGCCGAAGCAAAAACCTGGGTTCCATTCGCTATGCTGAACCACCCGGAGAAAATGGTCTTGTGTTATTGGGTCGGCTTGCTCACTCATTACATGTTGCTCAACAACGGCGCTTTTTCTTTGGCAAGACTTTTGCTTCCACTGGATGGGATGAGATAAATTAGATACCCAATATGCCACTAGTGCTGTTTATTTTGACTTGTAAATAATATTTTGAATATGGCAGTCCAGTGGCTACAACCGTTAGTTTCTTGTTCCAGAATTCTATTGTGCTCGGTTGTCTAAAAAGGCGTAAATAATATGATGCCAAGCTATGAGTCTTTATAAAACCCACGATTAGAACTTCGTATGTTCCCGACAGTCATAATTCTTGCCTAAAATCAACATGCTTTATAGCTCTTCGTCTTCACTTTCATCATCTCCTCTCATTCTTCTCCACCATTTGCTCTGTTCCTCCAATCCCGACCCATTTATTAACAACCTCCACTTCTTAGCAAACCATCTAGCACATTCCCAGTTCCTCCGATCTCTCAAGAGGCTCGAAGCTCGATCGCTCGGCCCATGCGAAACTCCCCACACCAGCAGACCTTCTGATTCAATATCTCGTTTAAGCTCACTTTCGTCGAATGCTGGAGGAGTCATATTCAGGAGCGTGATAGCCCTATCACGAAATATGGGGAATGGAATCAGATCGATATACATATCGTGGGGCTGTAATTGCTGGAGTTCCGTAGGGGCCAGATCGGCCATGACGCTCGTGGAGAGACTAAAGCATGGACGACGGCGGACAGGTCGGACAAAAATGTCTGTTCTAGGTGAATTTCCGCGAATGTAGAGGTGAGAAGTTTCTGAACTACTGCGATGTTGTGAGATCTGTGAAGTCGTAATGCGAGCAAACTCCTTATGCCAATACCAGGGCGAAATGATGCTTTCAGCCTTTTGGGCGAGTTGAAGAGGCACATTAAGATAAAGAGCATTTTGGATACGCGCCGCTTGAAAGTTATATCTTTGTATTTGTAGAAAGTTGCAATATGGCGAAGGTAGCTGTGACGTCTCGTGGGTAGTGTCGTTCAGCAGCGCTGACGGACTTGTGGTTAAGTGAGACACGAACGAGGAAACCCCATATTCCAAAGGAAATGTGGGTGCCGATAATGCTGTGTCTAGTGAATCTTCAAAAGAGTTGTCGCCGCAAGCATCTCGTACTGGCGAAACCCCGGAGTCGAGAAAATCCAGGATACCAGGAGCTGCGTCATTGGACAAGTCAAGCAAGCTTGAGCCTTCGGACAGGTAGGTCGACAGTTCACTTTGTTTTGCTTTTCGACGATCCCCTAGCGGACGAAGTCAATAAAAGGGTTATCGTTCAAGCTAGGGATCAACATACGGAAGCGTCTTTGAGACTCGCGATTCTGTGTGCGTCTTTTCTCTGTCAGAACTCTCCTCCGCTTCCCGGGCTGCGAGGCTCCAGCAGACTTTGGCATTTTCAGTCACGATAATCATCAAGATAAGCAAGTTCACTAGTCGATAGCAGCTCGTACGTGACATAAATAAGCCATTTAGTGGCTTACAAATAAGCCCTTCAAAGCATTGCCGCTATTGGATACAATTCGCATAGGTGGAGATTGCGCAACGTAGATGGGGGAATGACCACCAGAGAAGTTTCATATGTCTATGTCTATGTTTCGAAATCGCATTGAACAGTCGTCACTTGTCCTATAATGTTATTCATGGAGCCCAGTCTTTGCGAAGATTTAGCACGGCTATCTCCCCATTCGAACGCCTAGTGGGGCCTATCTGTATCTCAAATGCGTCCACAGTGATCGCCAGCTTCTCGAAATGTCCACACGCTTGACTTACATTGAACTAAGAGACTTATCGAAGATAACAGACTATAATTAGTACTTCGTCAATATATCAATAGGATGCTGGTCATTCATGGGGAACTGAGCCTCATTTTCACAACACGAAAACTTTGTGGCTTATGGTCCTGGCTTATAAGTGACTTTAGTGAAGGGACTCATATAAATATTAGATCTAGTGCTGCAGAGAGACACAGACTTTAAATCCTGCTTCTGTTCTGTTAGAAACTAATTTCAACTCGAACTTTCCTGAAATGTTGCCACCTTACCCAGTCTTTACGAAGCTATTTCACAGCTCGGTCGACAATGCAATCGACCCGCACAATGTTTCAGTCTCAGCACAGGGAAAAATTGTCCTCGTTACAGGTGGGAGCAAGGGAATTGGGAGATATATAGCCACGGCATTTGCAGTGGCTGGGGCTCATGCTGTTGTCATTTTAGGCCGCACCCCATCTGATCTTGAAGATGCAAGGAAAGAGATCTCGGCAGCTGCGTCGAATACAGGTCACAATACCGTCGTAAGATCCTTCAAGGTTGACATAGGTGACTCTGGCGCCGTGCTGGAAGCCTTTCGACACACCCGACAGGAAGTAGGTGCTATTGATGTGCTGGTCAGCAATGCCGGTGATGTGTATTTAAGCACCATTGAAGAAGCATTGATTGACAGATATTGGAAGAGCTTCGAAGTCAATGTCAAAGGCTTACTGAACTGCACGCAAGCATTTATTCATGTTGGGATGGATCATAATGCACTACGTCCACCAACTATGATAAACATATCCACGATCGGTATTGCTATGGGCCCAATGCCAGGGTGGTCTTCATATGGAGCCTCGAAACTCGCGGCATGGAAGCTACTAGAAGATCTCGTCGCGGAACTGGACGGTAAACTTCGGATATTTTCAATTCATCCGGGTAGAATCGCAACAGATATGACAAAGAAGGCTGGAATCCCGACCGCTGATGATAGAGGTATGTAAAAGTTTAAATATGGAAAGATTCCAATCATAACTAACTCGTATAGAACTGCCAGGAGCCTTTTGTGTTTGGCTTGCGGGAACTGCCGGTGTCGACTTTCTTCAGGGGAGATTTGTTGCTTGTAACTGGGACGTGGAAGAGTTGCTTCAACGTAAGGACGAGATTGTTGAGAAGGACCTCCTCAGAATGAAGCTGTCCGGATGGAACTCGTCGTAGTGCTATATCGTAGCCCTCACAGCATGTTATTATCTCGTGTATCTTTGACTGTATTAATTTTCCACCCGTCTTGTCACTGTAACGTTCATGTCTTTCTGGATGAAGAACGCAGCATTGAACGATTTCCACGGGCTGGTAGGATCTACTAGAGTGAGATTGAACCGCCGAAGGAGCTGCGCGTGTCAGAGTTGCTTCTTCATTATGCAATTGAGCCATGTCACCTATAACTTACCTCGACATAGGTTTTGTTTAGCTCTATCATGGCGATCGTTTTGCCCAGGCACTCCCATCTGCTGCCAGATGCAAAGTCCATCAGGACTGTTTGCTCCATCACACGCCATTTATTAACAGGGATATCTAGCCATCTTTCGGGCCTAGACATCTCTGCATCCTCGCCAAAGGTGCCTTTGTGCCGCATCACGGTCCATGGCGCCCAAGCTACATTAGTCCCAGCCGGTATATGTACACCACAGACGATCTCATCCTGCTTTGACGCTTTTGGCAGCAGCCCAGTCGCGGGCGGCCATAATCGTAGTCCTTCTCTAATAACAGCTTGAAGGTAGGGTAAATTTCGAGCCTCCTCATCAGTGATAGGCGAGCAAATTGCCCCCTGACCAATGCCTTGATCAATCTCTGCTTGTAATCGACAATAAACCTTTGGGTTCATCATGACAAAAAAAGCGTTGACCGAATAGCTGTTGCCGTAGTGTCTGACCCTGCAATAATTTGCACGATAGTCTCGCCTTCAGCATCTTCCTGGCTCAATCCGTGGGCGATGAATGACCCAAGCATATCTCGTTTCACAATGGGACTGGTACCATACCGTTGAGAAACGGCTTCTTGAGCTAGAGACATGACTGTGCCGATGCCTACCATTCCTCTCGCGCTAGGCATGATGGATTTCAATCTTAGTGATTGTAGAATGGAGAGAACTCTTGGGAGCAGAGCTGTAGCTAACAGAACGGGCACGGTCTTTTCGGTAGTTTCTATGTACCCGAACTTGTCTTCGTCTGATACAAGATAACCAAACGCCTTTCCAAATGCCAAAGACGAGATGACATCAAGGGTGAAGTACTGAGCTTTCTGAGCCAGATCGACTGCTTTGAAATCCGTTGCTGTTGACAGATATTTCGTCTCCAGAAGTCGAATAAGGTCGGCCACTTGTTCGTCGATCAATTCGTGTACATGATCAACGTCCTTTCCAGCATACCCTGGAAGCAGCTTGGAGCGGAGAGTCTCGTGCACGCCTTCATCAACCGCAGTGAAGGTGTTGTCTCTGTAAGGATCTATGCGTAATCCTTTATACCATTGCCCACATTGCCACGGTGGACGAACCGCCCAAATTCGTCGCAGCTCTGATGCATCGCCACAGACCACCCAGTTTGGAGCAATCCTGACAAGTGGACCATATTTGACATTCAGGTCGGCCAGAATTAAATTCAAACGCCCGCTAAGTTGGCTCTTGACAAGCCAAGCTTTGGTCCAGCCGGCCCATAACGGTCCTTGAATATGCCGGAGGCGAAGATAGTCTCTGGCTCGAATGGTTATTAATACGCCGCTCAGCACGGTGAGCATATGATTAGCAGCCATTTTGTGATGGGTGACAGTGAGTCATATGCCTGGGGAGAAAAGAGATTTCCAAAATATTGATGCTGGTAGGTACTAGAGGTAGCGATGTCGAAGGCGAACGAGGGACAATCGAGAAGCTAGCCAGGTTTGATGCAACGGTGTGCCATGGACTTGCGGAGGAGCGCCCATGACAATGGTCGACCTTACCTATCCCCAATTCTGCACTATCGCGTCCTGGGAGGAGCCAACCAAAAGATAGCAGGAAAAAAGGAAATCTACACTGGCAAAAGCCT